TCTCGTTCTTCGATATGCAGCAGACGTCAATAATAATAATAATAAGTGGGCACAAGCCACGAAACTATTATTATTTTTTAAACAAAAGCCGAATTCAAAGCAACACAAATGAAACAGGTAAACATCACACGACGCGAAAAAGCTCGTGAAACATTTAAGAGCATCAGTTATGAATAACGATTGCTTTTTCGGTCGTGTGCGAGCCACGTGCACCACGACTTTTGTTCATATGATCAAGACCAAGCCAGGGCGCCGATGCATATCCTGAAATCATTTTACCCCAATACAACACTGATATACTACATTCACTGGGTTAGAATAAATCAAGAAGAGCCATTAAATTGCCAACACTGCAATCATTACTTCGGAAAAAATGACATAACAGCGGTAACCGTAAGATCAACGTCAGCTACGCTAGGCTTCCCTCTCTAAAGCTACTTGACACAAGCAGTAGTACTGCCTGTCCATCTATCCACCAGGTTTATGCGCAGTTTTTCATAAAGTTCATTGAAATGACTGTTTTCTGCATTCGATAGTGCAAGAGAAAGAGTAATAGAAACGTCCGTCCATAAGCAAACCATGAAAGAAAGCCGAGCGCTTTCTGCAGAGCTGCAGAAATGAGATCGAGCTATGCAATGATGGAAGACATGTTTTCGCGGTCAGCAAACTCCATCGGGCAAACAGCTAAGACAATGCGCCCCCACACTGTGTCCAGCAGAAGCCGAGTGGCGAGTGGATACAAACACAAGAAAATATGTCGGGGGGAAACCATGCAGTGATAATTATGTCCTGACATACGCTTGAAAGATGCCTTCAACGTGTCACTGGAGTTTGCCCCAGTTGATCCTTGTCCATGCTGAGAGAGGATTCGAACCCAGAAAAAAAGAAATACCTGTAATATGAGTGTGTGCCAGTTCATTGAGATTAACCACACTTTCACGGTCCAGGTACTTGCTCACTCGATTGTTCACTATTACAGCGAATTTATACTGCAAAAGAAAGAGGGAAAATTAAATTCATTCAATTAAATTAAATCCAAAAAACACATGGATAATTTTCCAGACGATCGCATCATACGATTGAAAAAGGGTTCATCAAACCTTCTCAAATTCCTTGGGAGTAATGTCCAGTTTCTTCCTTATTCGCTCACTCACACTATCCAGCGTCTCCCCATTTGTAACCTTTATGAAAAACGGTACACCAAACATGCGTGCTGGATCCTGGAATCAAGAATTACAAACAAAACCGGCTGTATACATACTCAATTTAGCTGCTGGAGAAGTGCTAGTTTCGAGAAATACATTTAAGTAGCTGCGCTTCACTGTAACAAAAATACAAAGCTTTGATATATCTTGCTTTGATATACTCAGAGACTCGAACTCACTTTATCGAAATGTCCAACAGGCAAAAGATGTTCGCCCTGTCCAATGCTCTGCTCATCTTCCGGTACCTCTTCCACTCGCACCTGTAAAAGTATCTGCAATTTCATTCTTTAATACGAATATGAGTGAGCAGTGCAACTTACCTAAACCAACTGAATTATGCGCTTCCAGCGAAAAAAGAAAAAATCAAGGAACTAAGAGACGCTAACGGTTCGTGGATCCCTGATAACAACGGGCAAAAAACTTTTGCGACACTCAGCAAAGTCAATTAAACTACGCGCCATGCAATTAGCACAAGCGGAGGAGCTCTAAGAAGATATGCTTAGCAAAGTAGACTGATAAAACTACATTCACAAAAAATTTTCTATCATTCCTCATCTAATGCTCAGAAGACTCAATAAGAGGAGAGTATGATCGGGTGAGGCAGAAAAACTTGTTTTTTTTCCTTCTCATCTATTACTGTCTTTGGCAGAAGCAAATTTTACCCTGTACGTTCACAGCGTTACACCCGCAGACCAATACTGAGACTGCGCACTTATTTAAAAAAAAAAAAAAACCTTAAATTTGTACAGACAATCAGCAAGCATAATTCTGCAAGCTGTACCAAACCTCAAAATGTGTCTAAAATCAGGCAATACCTGCACGGAATTCTCAGAGCACCAAAAAATTGTGAAATATGGCATGGCATGGGCTGCGGTCAATGAAAGAAAAATCTTTTTGCTTTCAAAAACCCAATTTCTGGAAGATCTGAAACAAATTTCACAAAGAGGAAAGAAATTCTCTTTTAAAAGCAATGTATAACTCGTTGGTGTCACAGTCGAACCATTTTCTCCGTTTATGGTGAGTGAACAAGAAACTTTTCCTCGTCACGACAGCAACTCTTGTGCCCGCTGTTGTGCTGAGAGAAAAAATGAGGAAAAAAAAAAAACAGGTGCAATAAAAATTAGTGAAAAATCCAGACCTCCTTCCGATGTCACTTAAAAAGCAAAATGCTATTCTGAATAAAAAAAAAAGAAAGAACTCAAAAAATATAAAGGGAAAAAAAATGAGAAAATTATAAGCCCTTATGTTTCGGCGACAGTAAGCTTGCTTGTTTGTGCCGAAATATGACACATGATGGCAGAACCTACTGCTTCTCTTCTTCGATATAATTACTCGAGAAAAAAATCACTGAAACTGCATTTTAGCATGAAGAATTAGCGCATGCACGGTGCGTGGATTATGACCAAAACGAAGGATGGCTTTCCCAACGAGAACTATCAGCAGCTGCATGCGTGAATATAATGTGAGAGCTAAGTGATCCTCGAAGAACTAGCTGTCTGAGTTGACTGTCAACTCATAAAAAACGGACAAATAAGTGTGTAACCGGTCCGCCAAGCATTTGTACCGTTAACGCATCCACAGTATGGGGAAAAAAGAAAAAATGGTACAACCTGACCTCAATAATCCTTTCTTTCAGACTATTGGCCCACCAGCCAGTGAGACAACTAATCCCTCTACAATCTGTTCATTCGTTTCGATGATGAACTGGTACTGGCAGATGTGGGACAGTTGAAACAACTTCAGTTTGTTTACGAGCCCATGTTGAAAAGCGAGCCATCGGGAGCTTTACCGACAGGTGGCTAACTGTTGGAGAGTGCAAATCCCCAGGCTTCCCTCACAGAGAATGAATACGGAGAGAAGACGGGGGAAGGGGGAGG